TGCTCTGATGCGTAGTCTGTCAACCACAACTCCTGGCGGACTTTTCATGTTGACAAGTAATAGGAAACATCACCAAGTTTAAGCCCCCAGCGAATCCTCGATCTTCTGCGAATCAAAACTAATCAGACCTCGAAATATCTTATTGGCTTTAAGACGGAAATAGACTTCGCTTATTGGGAAGATCCAGTTCTATTTGCAGTATATGTTGTATTAAACATTTATTTACACAAGTCGCAATTTCAATTTTATGTCTTTTTTATTCCAATCACGGTCAATGATATATATTTCACTATTTTCGCGGTCAAATTTTTGAAAATAAAATTTCTTTGATTTCGTTTTAATCCTTGTGGAAAAAAGTATAATTTAACTTTCAATATTAGATGATCAAGAAAAGAGATAAGTACCCATTATAACCGTGGTTTTCAATAACAGAGCTCAAAAACTATTTTATATGCAAACTTTATTTGTATTGTTGTTTGAGGTTTTAAAAAAGTGTAAAAATTTAAAATAAGCAAAAAATATGACGGATGTAAAAAATGCGGTGTTTATTTGAAGATCAATTAATTACCATTATTTCCGATTGAGATGGGGCAACATATGTGAGTATTTTAAATCAACCCAAATATTAATTAAGGATGAGCTTTGTTACTGACTAAGACCAGCTGTTTCATTAGTCAGGACAATGATCAGGGACAGCTGGGTCTAGTTTCGAACCATCAAAAAGTTTCTCATTTCTCTCAGGATCGAACCGGCGATTTTATGGTTACTAGACGGAACTACTACAAGCACTATAGCCAACCATGTTGGCATCGTAAACTGACAACCCTGAATCCTAAATCAACTCTTTGAGTGTGACCTTCGAAGTGTAATAGACCTGACTGCAAAATTCTTGTTGCACGTCCATCCAGTACGATTAGTGCATACGTAACTTTGATGACATCGGCCTTGTGTTAGCGCGAAGGACCTCTGTCTTGTTGGCTTGGCTCAAACTCCTTCAATCGCAATGGCAATTCTTCATGTGATAATGCCAAGACTTGCTAATTCGGAGATCACCTTAAGCTCCACATAAGATAAAATAATAGTCTGGGAGAACCCTATTGGTAATATGACATCACGATAAGGATTACGGTAATTCAATGATAAACCTGGGGTTTGAGTCCCGGCACCACTAATATCAGTGCAGTTCATTTTTGTGGGGAGCGAGCTGGTGTAGAACGCGGGGCTACGGTCCCAAGGTTCTGGGTTCAAATCTTGCCAATCATCGATGGATTTTAGATATGTGATAATATCGTGAACTTTCATCTATCCTTAAGTAATGTGCAAAACGGTTCCAGGTTAGAGCGTAGTCTACAATGGCAAAGTAGGACATGTAAAACAAACAATTCCCGGCTCCCCACTTTACTTGACGTTCCACGCAAAAGCCCGATGCCCATGTACACGGAGTTATGATTAGGTAAAATAGGCCTAGGATCTATTAAAAAAACATCCTGTCCCAAAAATTCCTTCGCTAATATTGAAGAAAATGTATGATCCTACTTTATACCGTGGTGCCATTGGAACATGACTTCAAAAATCTAAAAATTTAACTTAGTTTAATACTAATAACATACAACGAACTAGAGTTTTGGTTGAAGTTCGTCTTTGGTGATGGTGGGTTTGTGTTATTAAAAAAATATTGTGGAAATTCTCCAACGGAGTTTTGTTGTTAAGATAACTTAGGTGCTTAATCGTCCATATCTTGATATACAAGAATTGAAATTTCTGACTTCTTTAGTTGCTACAGTAATGTCGGTCGGCAACCGTAGCGGAAACGCGCATAGCCTGAATTCGTAATGCAACTCCCTCACTTCCGGTAGCTAGACGGCTAGAGCACGATACATGTCGTGTAGGTGTTAATTCTGCTTGCTGCTCGCCTTTGTGTGTTAACCAACAGAATCCCACGGGACTCAATTATATTCCCGGGCTCTCCGGTGTCCTGGATAATCAATGGTGGTTTATTGTGCTCTCACCGCTCACCGCTTTACGTCTTACTAATTACGATAATAATTTACTGTCAATTCATAAGTTTTACTGGGTTGAATAAGTTTGACTAAATTTATACATTGGCTAATACGCTTTGTGTCTAAATTATTAGATTTATACTAATTGGAGGTGTTAGTCATTTACATGTTTAGTGGACATTTTGTAGTGGTGAACGGGTAATAATATTGCAAGTAATATAGATAATTTAAACAATCACAACATGTTTCTGCCCCACATGAGACTAACTTCATTATGTAGTTTTGATTTATTCAAACGCCTTTATCACATCTATGTCAAATCATCATGAGCAAAGTTTTTTTGCAACATGGTAATTTCTTAGAATAGAAGTGTTCTAAATAGTGAGCAATTATTTTTTTTATCAAAACTTCCTTTACAAGAAACCGATTTTTTTCAATTTGTATTTGCGTATTTCCGGAAAAATGTATGCATGAATATTTTACATTAATCAATTAAGTCACGTTAGACATAAAACTAATCCAGAATGAATACCAGTATTACTTTCCAAAGAATTGAATTAGATATCTTTCAAGGTACATTTAAAGGTAATGGAAATGAAGCAGGCAAATTAGGTCAAAGCTCGAGTCAAAAGGCTCTTGACAATTCCATTAACTACCAAAGTATACGAAATGTGAAGGGAGGTGACTTTGACAGGGAGTTAGCTTATTTTAATAAACCATCTTCATAGCAAGACATGTATTGATCTAATACATATACGCCATTCTTGTCAGTTTTGAGACGTTATCGTGGTGGTATTTATGGATCGTTTAAGTAGATTACCTCTCCATAACAGTTTGAACTTTAGGAGCATTTGACATCGTAATAATATGATAGAATAAAACACGATGTAACGGTTAGACCCATTAACAGTCAGGAACAAAATTTCAACTATTAAACATATTTGCTGCATTTGAAATAAATTAAATGTGATTTTTGCGAACAAGCTTCGTACCGATGATTAACATTTTGATCTTCACATTAAAATTTGCTAAGAGCAACTTTTTGTGAGAGACAGGTAACTTTTTACTTTTTACAAATAAAATCCTGGAGATCAAGAACCTTGAAGTCTCCTTAAGTTCCGGAGACACCCGAAAAATTCGTTGTTTCAGAAAACCTATATTATACAATACATTTAGTCGCGAAATGCACATTTTTAATTGGTCTATCCCAACAAAAATGATACACAAAATATTAATAGTCAAACATAAAATATATTTATAGACCCAATGGGGTTGATGTAGACAGTGTTAATATTAGAAGTATACATAAACACACAAACACACAAACACCGCACCACAGATCAAACAAACGTGTTAAAATAAACATAACCTCAACATACGTCTCGTGAGATAGTGAATTTATACCGTACTTGTTATCAAGGTTTGTTTTTTGTCGTGCTATAAATCGAAGGGGAAATAATACATTTTAAAGGTGTTTAAATCGATAACTACACTTACTATTGAGGTAGTTATTGCAATTCTACCGTAAGAAACAAAACATTTGAAAAAACTTCGTAAATGAGTCTTTATTTTTATAATTACAATAATTTAGTTACACAATTGTTTAAAAACTATTGGAACCAACATAATTTAATCCGTACCAAAGACTAATTTCTGGTTAATGTTGTTTTTTGCACACTTTGCAAAACAAATTATGGAAATGACTAAACGAATGAATACATTGAAGGTAAAGATTCGGCGTGAAAGTAGCACATTGAATGCTCAATTGAAGTGGATCGGACCCATCGGGGTCAATGGATTGTACTCTTCTCTGCAGCTGATTGTGATTGTGTGATCGTCACGCTCACGATCCTTGCACTGATTGTTTATTGTAGCTCTACTTAAAAGATTCTACTTGATTTGCATTAGTAAGAAATAAAAAGTGCAAGAAATAAACTGACATCACAGCTGTTCTAGGTAATATATTCTTAATTTCTATAATAAACTAAATATATTGCAGGGAAATGATTATTTTGAGAAAAAATTAATACTATAAATTAACTAGTGTTAATATCCTACTAGCTCTTCCGGTCATTGTTACTTTTTACCTCGAAAGGATGTACGCAATAGTTTCACAATCTTAAGTCTCGACACCGCAACAACATAATTATTGTAAGTGGAGTCCTGTGCAGAGAAAACTACGAACTATTAACTTAATTAATTTAATTGACTATATTTAATATAATATATGTTTTTGAACAGCATCAATACGTATCTTTTTACAAATAAATTTAAACAATAACAGACTGTTGGAAATGTTCAATGGGCTTAAAACCAAATTTTAAGTAAAAACTGGGCTGTAAATATAAATCTTGTGACTGATAAAAAATAATGGGTTTTGAGCATTCCACTATCACCGGAAACTGCTGCTTTACTTTATACAGGCAATGGTTAAAAAAATGTTATGCGCTCGCGTCAAATTTAAAATTGTTTAACATTAAAATGCTTTACGCGTTAAAGAATTAAAAGAAAAACGCGAGAAATTATAAGCTGCGAGCCTTTTGAGATTTTATCCCTCATACACCATTATATGTAGCAAGTAACGTGTGAATTCTCTGAGTGTAATCAAATTAATATATATCCTAGTTGAATATATTGCGAAATAACATCCGATTAGTACTAAAGCCAGTTACTCGGTTTATAAATTCCAAATCGATCTACATTTCATTTCATGTAAACGGCTCATTAATAAACATCAAACTGCTTGGCAGGGGCACACTATAGTGATGCTTGCGTATCAACGTAGATAAGGAATGTTTGCTGACAAATGGCAAGACAAACAAACACGATTAAACGTGAAAACGCGGCTTCTAGTTCTAAATATTCGTTCCAGGGGAGGGTTGAGGACGACCATTTTGAATCCTAACCTAGCAGATCGATCTTAACCCTCCGCGCGGACCTGGTCTGTGTTTACTCGGCTAAATAAAGTATAGTGTTTGCGTTGAGTTAAAAGTGACTTACACGGACGAGGCGAGGCGTTGGGCGTCTTAACACATCGGTGAATCGTTGTGTGGACTGACGTTGGACGTTACAACGCGGTGGAGCTAGGGGGCTCGACTGACAGGAGGAATGAGGCATCGCCCGCCCGCCGGGCGCTCACCCTTCCGTCACCCCACCACCACCCCATCACCCACCGCCATCACCCTGCAAGTGTAGTGCTGCTTTAGATATCATAAAACATTAATTGGAAATGCAGTTTACAAGAGTTCATAGCCAAAAGTTAAGTAAATCTTTTTATTTTGTTGTGAGGATTTTATATAAATATAATTCTGTATGAAAATTATTATAAACTAAATCTATAACAATATTTAGCTCCAAATAGAATGAAACAATATTTTTTATATTTTTTTCTGTGGGGTTTTGTGAACACACTTATGCTTGAAACATTAACAGAAAGTAAATAAAAGAGACGTCTTATAACACTTAAAACATATACAGGGTGTTTCAAAAAGAATCATCCGATTTCATAGGTTTATAATTTGAAAGCTAATAATCATATGGACACGAGGTTAATTTTATATTAAAGAGTAACTAATAAAGTTTTTTTACATACCATTTACAGGTGATTCATATGGCTCCCTTTAGATGCACGGCATATGTGCAACTTAACTTAAAAAATTTACTTAGATAGAAAAAAATTGTGAAAACAATTGAAAATTTAAAAATAAATGCCAATTTTTGAAAGTAGGGAGTTTTTTTGGGTAGTGAAGGGGTGCGATTTTTGGAAAACGATTAAAAGTGTCTTGTAGAAAATTTAATTCCTGACCATGAAAACTCTTTCAAATCTTGGCTAGCTCTTACCAGTTGTAGCCGTTTATAAAAAGGTGTTTTGCCGTTTTCATATGTCCGCCATTTTGGATTTTTGGGGGGGTTAACATTTAAAAATGGAACTTTTGGATATTTTCCCTTAAACTCGAGAACGCCCTCTTTCTAACAATATATTATTCGATCAAATCGGATACAATTATGAGTAGTTATTATTTTTCAAAATCGGATGATTCTTTTTGAAACACCCTGTATTTACGCTTATACTGTTACTCACAAGATAGTAAATATACAAAAAAAGATGGTAAGTGGTGATCTCGATTTCGATCACCACTTACCATGTATTTACCAAGTAACAGTATAAGCGTAAATGTAAATATATGTTTTAAGTGTTATAAGACTTTTTTTTATTTACTTTCCATAAATTTAATAACATGTACAATGCTGATCAAGAAGTTATTTAGTGAAACATTGATTGCAATAAAAACTAAATCTTGCCTGCCTATCAAAATAGATGTGGACCACTGCATTTCTAGGGGTATGCTTGTTCACAGGTTCTGGTTAATGTTATTACTGTAATAAATTATTTTGGACTTCCAGAAAGCATTTTATTGTGAGGAAAGAGGTTATTAGATTGCCTTTTATGTTGTTGCCTGTATTATTGAGCAAGATTTTCGTTTATTACCCAAACCCAAGAACAAAGGCTACAACAAAAAGGTGATATAATATAAATTAAGTTCTTGAACCTTGGATGTATATTAACTACCGTGTAATGTGTAAAAAAGTAAATAAAAAGCAAGCAAGAAACCAAACAAAACATTATACCATGATAGCAGCAAACTGGACATACAGTACATCAGTTCAAGTTGTCCAGTTTATCTAATTAGGCTACCCAGTGAATGGAAGAAGATATTAGACTATCATCAGGAACTTGATAAGGCCTTAAAACGTTAAAGGAAAATGTGAATTACTTTTAGTTCGACAATCTTCCCTCCAAATGACACAACTCTTAACATTCATGCATATTTTTTCAATGTTTTTCTTGCCTTATAGCTAAATTATCTGGGAGAGAAGAAATAAAGAGAAATGGTAGAGGATGAAGGGGAAAAAGGGTCAAAGTAGGTTTTAGTTCTAGTATCTTATTGTATAAATTAAGCAAAGGTATTATCAATTTATTTGCATTTAAGGAAATATTTTTTTATTACGAATTTGATTAATTCTTTTAGATTCAATTGGGAGAAATTATTGTTGCAAATTCAAAATCCCTAACAAGAACTAGTTCAAGCCTGGCCTGACCCTTTTTTACTGAATTACCATTGAAAAATATATGCAATTATTTCATTGCTGGATATCAAGCACTATAATTAATTGTAGCTACGGATTATTGATATATAATCTATAATCACATACTATAGAACCAGGATATATAATCTAACATGCAATCCACATAACCTTATTTGATGCTTCAAGGAAACAGTGAACTCTTGCTATTGTTTGTTGCTATTGTTTAGAAACTTACAGACAGCTAATGAATGGTATTTACATTCTGAATATATTTAGATAACAGATTGTTGTACATTACGAAACAATAATATGCAAATAGCATCTGCAAACTCAGCTGAGATTCATTATTTTACTTGCTAAAGCTGAAAAACATGATAGTTTACATACATTTTTCCATAAAACAATAACAAGTTTGTTATTTGTAGAAACATTAGATGAACTCGTGGAGACAATTAAAATGTTTGGAGCCTGTTCCCACTGTCTAATCAGTATGGATTTAAAACTTAATGCAGTGAATGTAAAATTTAACTACCAAATTGATTCAAATTAATGACTTTTTAAATTATAATGATAAAAAATAAAATTTTATAAGCATAAACACATTTTCTTGTACCATATTTGAAAAATAATTATTTGGACTAGTTTCAGATAGTTAAAGCTAATAGCTAATATTTTTACACAGACACTAAAAACATTCTGCAGTAATTCTGAAAAAAATATTTCTGAATATAAATTAAAAATCTGAATCGATAAGACTTTTTGATATCAATTTTAATTTTTGTTAGATAACTGGATTATTATTTCCAGTATTTTGAGGGCAAACAACAGTGATATTTTTTACCTATAAGGATTATTCTAAAAACAAAGTACTTAAAGTATGATTGTGAAAGATCAAAATTAACCTTAAAGAAATGAAATAAACAATTTAGAACTAAAGTGCACTTGGGTGTTTACTAAAAGAAAATAGACAGGCGGACAGACAATTTCCATCCAATATTTACTCACTGCCCGTTTCACTACCGTACTTAAACTTGTTAAAAAGTGGCCAATTTCCAATTTTGTTACATTCAACAATTAGAGCTGAAGATATAATTGACAAGAATACAAATTCATTATTTTAAAATCAGCTGAAATAATAAATACAGCTAATATAAGTGTCAAACAAACCTTAAAGGTTGCTGTTGTGTTTCTGAAATGAAATTAAAAAAGCTTTATTTTACCAGGCAAATTAGGGGCCAGATGGCCCTTTCTTACACTTAACCTGACAAACGGAAATACAAAGAAATAAAAACACAATGAGATTTCTTAATCAACATATCAATCTACATATTTAACAAATCAAAAACAGATGAAACAAAAATTCAATTTAATAAAATAATAATAATTATAAATTGAAATAACAAAAAAAACCATGTTCACACTCTCACACGCACACGCACCAGCAATCGTGCAAAGACACAGAAGCCCTGCTAGGACACGCAAGCCGAGACCATCTGCTCAAAGTAGACCTACTTCAGTGCCGCCACAAACTGGGAACGTTCTGGTCAAATGTTTATGACGAATAGAGTATTCTTACCTCACCTCCTTGGCCACTCAAAAGAAGGTTTTCGGCCTCGCCAACAAGATGCCTCCACTGCAGCTTCGGTCTTCCTAGCGGGGGAGTGCCTCTTGATTGTCCATTGCTGATCTTGTTCAGTATACTTCCTTCTTTCTACATGGCCTGCCCATCTCAGTCGCCTTCTCTTTACTCTGGCTACAATACCCGGTTCTTTGTGAAGAACAAAGAATGATAGTGTATAGCCAGCTCAATATAATTAGCTTTTTAGTCAGTATCTATGAAAATGGAATTTTATTTAAAAGAACCCTCAAACTTCTTTAATAAAACTTATCTTTGGTTCAGGAATATTGTTCTTCTCTTACTGAAGTAAACACTATACTAGCAACCTCCCAAGTGCCTTTACTTAATTTTTTTTATTCATACATTTCCTTTCATGAATGTGTGAGGTATTCTTTTGCCCGCCTAACTACTGCTTTTCCTTTTATTTTGTTGTAGGCTGTAAAATATATACATTTTTGTAAACACGTTTTTAACTTGATCATAAACAGTTTGGTCAACCTATAAACAAAATACTAACTGATTATATCTGACACCCTTTTCCTCCTTTAATTGCTTGGAGAGGGAACTTTAAACAAATCACTATACAAGAGGGGTGTGCACTAGTTTCACAGTGTTATAATTTTATCGATCTATATTGTTCAGAACTGGCTTCTTAGTTCAGTCTTTGGGAGTTATTAAGTGCATTAAACATTTTCTGTTCTTAGCTGCTCATTGAACAGAGTTATGATTTTTGTAATATTGATAGAAAATATAACCTCTCATTGACAAGGACAGGATAGAGTATGTACACAACACACAAAGCGTGATTTATTTGAATCGCGCAACTTTATTTTTCAACTATCTGTGCCTTAACTACTTATCTTTGTGTTCCTGGTAGAGTAACCAATATAAGTTGTGGCTCTATGGGAGAGCTTGAGGCTTCGGTCTCAGAGGTCCCAGGTTCAAATCCTGCTAACCACCAAAGTCTTTTGCATAATTCTAAAAAAGTTGTCATAAAATAGATCTCTTAAGCATGTTTAACTGGTTGCATATACACAACCACATAGTTGGTTGGTAAGAACTATGTGATATTGCCACAACCCTCTTGGCTTAACCTGAAGTAATACGTGAAACGGTTTTGGGCCAGAGCCTAGCGTCCCAGAATGTGAAGTAAGGAAGGACAAACAAATTTTGTAATCAACAAAAATATACTAGACATATAACAAGATTTACCAGACTCTTAGCAACCTGTTCTGGCTATGCAATTTGGTGTTCTTGGATTAGAATTCATTTCCTACTACTGGAACGTCAATTTATGAAATACGGTACTAAAGAGTTAACTTTTGTTGTTCTCCAAGAGTTCTCTATTTTTTCAATGTGACATATTAAATCATTCGTTTGCATTTCATCAACATTTATAAAAATAAAACAAGCACAGACACAGTGTGATAGAAAAGTCCCGGAACGGTGTAATATATTTTTCCCATTATATGTAAAGTAATGATATTTGGTATATCAATAGCCATAAATGTACTCTTTTAAGCTATTGTTACTTTTTTATCCCTTAAGGAGTAGTTTTATCCCTTAGCCCAAAAGGAGTCAGAAAAAAATCTTATAAAGCAGCATAGGTCAAGTTTGGTATTAAATCAAAAGTCTTAGTTAGTAGAACACATTGCCGCAAACCCAAACTCGAACGGACAACCCAGTCAAAAATGGCAGTTTGAATATCTCTTGAATCTGCCATTTTGAATCTTTGAACGGCTGCCATTTTACACTTAGTGGTTCTTTTGAGCTCAAATTTGCGGCATTGTATTTTACTAATAAAGACCTTTAATTTGATGTGCATATCGACCTATGCTTAACCCTTTCGAAGCTAGAATTTTTCTTTTTTGTAATTTTCCAAAAAGTGCTAGTTATTTTCTTATTTTGTCCGAAAAGTGCTAGGCTTCCACGGGGGCAAAGTCTAGTGTGAGAGAAAAAAAAATCTGTAAAATTGAAATTTTTCATCTCAAGAGTGCTAAGGAGGGATATACAGTATCGGGCCTTGATTATATGAGGAATCCAAAGAAACCATCGCTGTTTCAAAACAACAACCAAGTCAACCGTTTAAACTCACACAGTCGAAAGTCGCGCCAGCACGGTATATCGTCGCTTAGCACTTTTCGGATGAAACGAAACAGCGAATATCGTTCCATAGCACTTTTCAGGAAATTGACGCACGATATATTGTCGCATAGCACTGAAAGGGTTAAATTGATGATTTTCTTTCAATTGTAGCAGGCACCTGAGGAGGTAGCGTATTATAGCATTGCAAATTCAATGAATCTTTGAACAGCTGTCATTTTTGACTGGGTTGTCCGTTTGAGATCAGGTTCGCAGCAATGCCTTCCACTTACTAAGACCTTTAATTTGATGCCAAACTCAACCTATGCTGCTATTTAAGAATTTTGTCTGACTCCTCATGGGCCTCCAAGTGATAAAAAAAGTAATAATAGCTTAAAAGAGTAGACATTATCGTTATTCTTGACAAACCAAGTCTTATTACTTTAACTAGAATGTTAAAAAATATATTACACTGTTCCAGGACTTTTCAACCACTGTATAAATTCTTTACCAAAATTTATGTTTGTATTTTAATAATTGTTGACAAGTAGCATATGTTTGCTGAAGATGTAACTGTGTTGAGAAAATAGACGTTGTAGAAGTATCGTAGTAAGGTATAACTCATATTCTTAGATTACCTTTATACAGGACATGATTTGAGGACGCAGTGGACAGCGTTCCAAGACCCCTGTTCCTAGAGTTGCATTTTTTTGTACATTAAAATAGTTTTAAAGAGATTTTTCCTGAAAAGCACCGATGCTTTGAATTGTTGCTTTCTGTTGGTCTTGTCATCAGGAGGGAAGAAATGGAGAGGAATTATGATAGCATTCAGTGTGTTCAGTGGGGCATCAATTTGCTTTTACCATAGAACCTCTATATTGGTAAGCGACCCATATTTTTCCGTGACCTTGGTGAGCATTCCCATCCCATATTGGAAGATATTAAGACTCAAGACTACTCCTCTTCCGGGGGCTGTGTCCCAGTTCTTCAGATCTAGTACCTAAAATCAGTATATGGTATCAGTTCTTGCCTTATAAGTTACGACGTAGTGTTTCTAGATTTCCTCTGTTTTCAGAACAAAAATTTACTTCTGATCTAGAGGAGAAAACCTAGTGGCTAATATCTGTAACGACATTTGGTTTGCCATTCTATGGCCTTATCTCTAGCATGGACTTAGACTTTATATGGGTGGTTATCCAGATTACAAAACCCAAATATGGATAGAAGGCAATTAACCCTTCTTTTGGCAGAAGATAATATTTAGTCAAAGGATGAGACCGCACTTCTTATGTTGGATGTGAATCTGTATCAGTTTAAAATACAATTTTAAATTTTAAAAATACAATATGACGCCATTCGTGCACATGTTTGCAAAGTATGAATAAAGTTGATTTCATTTCATTTCAATTACGGCATTTGGTACAAGTACCTAGTAGTGCTCCTAAACAATTTCATAAAACAATTTTCTTTTAAATTGTGACCTTCTGCACCACACATGCATGTATATATATATATACACACATATATAAAATGCCCTTAAAGGAAATTTGACAGGTAAGAGATCTAAATTTTGAATGGTTATTGCACCATATAATTCAATGTTGAATGCAATATGTGAGTTTATGAGAGCATAGTAAGCCTTGTGCAGCATATAGACCTGATCAAATTTTACTTTTTAGTCTATCAATTTAGTACAACCAAGATAAATTTTGATCAATTATTGGTCCTATGAATTTAGTTTGAGTCACTTGAGTTAAGTAATTGTTATCAATTTTGAAATGATGTTTTAAAGGTTTTTTTGGGCAGTTGACAAATTTATGTAATTGGTTTTCTCTGAGTTAAGCAATACGTTTTTGCAAGATTCATATATAGATTCAAGGCCACTATTACCTATACTGTATATTCAATGTAATTTTTTGATCTACCAGAAACTATTAATTGCATCATCAGCATAGAGGCATAATTTACTGTTTAAGTTCGTTAGAGCTGAAGGTAGGCCTTTTATATAACAGAGGAATAAAATTGGACCAAGAATAGACCCCTAAGGGACTCCATATTTAACTTGATTTAGAGGTGATTTTACTTTATGTAATTGATTGAATTCTGTAATCGTATTCAGTTCAACATATTGCTGCCGGTTTTCTAATTTTGACCACTCATTAAATAATATCCTGGTATTAAAAATCACAACAAATAGTGTAACTGCTGTACTGTAAGTTGACTCTTAAATTCATTGAACCTTTATAAATGTTTTTTGCATTGAAACTAATTTTTAACTACAAAACAGAGTAAGTTTTTATCTTTTCAACAAATCTAATAAATCCTTATATCTCAATTAATTTCAAATTGAGTATAACCAGCTGTTTCAAATATTAGTGCAAATTTCAAAGTATTCATCTGATCAAATGTAAACAAACATTTTCTCCATAAGGATAACATGGGAAAATTGAAGGCCACTGGGGCAGAGCCCTGATGGAATTTCAAAGATTTTTTGATAGATAGCAAATCTACGTGCCACGACCTATCCAACAACACCTTAAACTTGGTGATCGAATGCATAGCAGCTTTAAAACAATTATCACAAAATTTGTGTCGCCTATTAAATATATAGATTTAGGTGTTCATAATATAATATAGGCCTAATGTTTTTAGTCGGCAATTGTCTGACACTCACTAATTTTTAGTAGAGTAAAATCTCTATTAACCGTCACCCTCGGGACCGGGAGATTAACGGTTAAGCTAATAGACGAAAATCAGAAATCCTGTAGTAAACCTGTAGGTTACAGTAAGTTGATTTAAAAGGTTTTTGAAGAAATTAAACACTGTAAAAGCGAATAATACATATTTATATTTAAATTACTTTCATACAAGAGTAATACAGAACTGTTACTTTGTATGTTGTACTTGTTCAATGTTTGTACGGTGAAATAAAATCACATTAACACGTTCACTGCGAGTGGCGGGAATCCCCGCCCCGCTGTACCGGCGCCACTGGTGCGGGGCGAGAAATGTCGTCCTTCACCAATGCAAACAACCTTGTTTCAATGTGAGCTCAGCCATTGCCGGGGAACGTTGTTATGGTTACCAGCCTGTAGCTTAGAATGCGAGCTTTATTCTGGTGTAGGTTGGTACTAAAATTGCCCGTAAAATCCCGCCTGGCAATGCTTTTGTCCTGTTTTCGGAGATTTTCTCTATTCGAGCGATATTACAAAGACTCTGGTTATTGATCCAGGCAGTGCTGCTACCTTTGGGTGTTTGAGTGAACTACGTCCACTTTTGGGGTAACGCAGAACAATCACCACTGCTCTTTTGTGATTCGTCTAACTGAGATATTTCAATACCAATTACGATCGTTGATTCAGTTAGCACATCGGGGCTCCACCCGGGCCTCGCCGCAATTGGCGAGCGCCTGTTTAAAGGTTTTCAGCAGTGAACGTGTTAAACAAAAATCTAAGTAGTCTAATGTAGGAGGGTGACGGATAACATAGAGTGATGGTTAAAGAGGTTCCGGTTAATTGAGGTTCTACTGTATGTTATTTTCATTGAGTGGAAAAATTGCATCTTAGACAGAGTTCTACAACCCCTTAGACTTTAAAGTTAAAGAAGTTATCAAGCACAGGCCTTTTCTTAGATCTGCAAAACATAATTTTTGGCCATTGGGAGGGATTAGATTCTTGTAGTGATAAAATAAACCTATTTGAGATAGCTAAAATTAAGTCAAATATATCTTTAATGAAAAATAATTCTTTAGAAAACTAAAAATTCCTTTGGATAACCTGTAGTTGAAGGTTTTGCCTTGAAGGAAAGAAAAATGATCTGTTTCATACTTCACAAATGAGAAACTACAAAAGGTATAATTTTTGTATGTGAATGGATGTTAGAGGAAATCAAGGAAGTGAAATAAATAAAAGTGTGTCAAACAAACATAACATGAATCTTTATTTTGAAGCAGACAAAATGTCTCGGGCAACAATACAAACTGATCATTGAAAATAGAGCATTAATAAAAAAATAGCTAACACAGCCCCAAGTAGGTCCTGTATAGAAACAGCTCCTGTGTACTGCTCAGCTCCAGTGTCTTTTAAAGTAGATATAATAATTATACATAACAAGAGATCAAACTGTTGTGCTGCCAACTTTACAGTATCGGTACTCCACTTTAGAAAATAAACAGAAACTTTAAAAGCTACGTTTGGAAATATTTCAGAAATTATCTTAAAATTGAGAAATCTGTACAATAATTTACAATCAATTTGTTAAATAGCTTGGCTAAATATTTCTGAAATATTAACAATAAGAGAATCTAATGACTATTACTGACCAGAGTTCCTTCGTTAAACGGTTAAAATAAATAATTCACACAAAACTAAAACATTAATTAACGACTATCAAATAAATAATTAAAACGAGAACCCACCAAAAATGTCTGGAATGAAGTACATTACATGTACGATGGACTAAAGCTACTTAATAAATGACTAGAATTAATTGTTCGAAAGACAAAACACAAACAAAACGCCGAGATACAAATTGGTATTGCACATTATGTGGAACTCGCTTGTGGTTCCAGACATTTTGTAAGAACCTATTACGAGTATCACAAAACTCGGCTTCGCTTAGTCTTTCGTGCTGTATTGTACTCTGTTACGATCACACACACTTTATTGCCATACGTATTACATTAGCGTACGTACGTCTAAAACGTGTGCATTACCGTGTCACCCTGTACAACATCTAACATATAATATTATGTGCATATTACGAAGGCTGACACCCGAACACAAGTCGGTGTGAAAAAATAAATAAACAGTCAATTACTTATCAACACGAAAGACCAAGTTAAGTAAAAAAATAATTAATATCATTGGCAACAAAAATATCACTTAAAACATATTATTATTAAGATCTTATACGATATTAAGTTTGAGAGTACTTTCAAACTACATAACATATGGCACTGGTTTGAAAGTTCTAAGACTAAGTAAAAAATAATCTGGAGACCAAGGCGATATTCTAAACACGGTAGTAAGTATTAATATTAGTAATGAAAGTCGGAGGAGGATTATGGAGCCACTTCCACCGAATGATTCTGAAACAAAACCAAGCACACACTATTATATCTAAATCCACGACCCTTATGTAATAGTAATGTTACTCTCAAGAAAACTCTAAAAGAAATTAACACTAGAACTCTAATTATATGAATCAATTGGAACCGGACCCAATTAGGATTATTGGATTTTTTAGCAAAATTTTGAGTCTTTTTAAGAAAATAGGCATGCAGAGCTTTTACTATTGTGATCGCAGAATGCGTCTGCGACGATTTCGTGATCGGAAAATTTACGCTTTAGCCACGATTGCAGAGTACGATTATGATTTTCGGTGACCGCAGGAGACGATGATGGTGTCAACGTGAGCGTAGGATATATTTAACATTTTGTCGCATTCACAAAAAACAATGAAGATGTTACTGTGACCGACGGAGACGATGAAAGTGTCAACACAACCATGGGATATGTTAAACATTTTGCCACAATTGCGAAAAATTATGACGATGTTACTCTAACCGCGGGAGACAATGATGGTGTAAAAAAGACCGTGGGATTTATTTATCATTTTGCCGCAATCACAAAAAACTAAGACGATGTTATCGGGACTGCGGGATATATTTATTATTTTGTCGCGATCGTGAAAATGATGACGATGTTTCCTTGACCACGGGAGACGATGATGGTGTCAACACGATCGCGAGACAGGTTTTGGATTTTGCAGCGATCACAGCTTCTGCCTTCTATAATAGGTAACAATTCTTAGTACTGTGGTTTTACATTTTTAAATTATTTCTTTAAGCAATTCAGATAATCGGCGATAAGGATAGTTGAGGTTCTACTGTATTGGAAATAAAATAATACATGGCTTAATCTAGGGCCAAACGAGGTGGTTTTGCTGTGTGGTCTGACAGCGTGGTTGAGCCGCATGGTCCGACAACGGCGACAACACATTGAATGAAATAGGAGGCCACACACGAGGTGATGTTTAGCTACCTGGGCGGTTTGCTTGGGCCATGTCACAGGTGGACTGCATAAAGTTAAGCCGCATTGGAGGGACACATTCAGTCTTATGAGAGACAACACACGATACAGTTTGACCACACAGGTGGAGCTCTTCTTCTGGAATTTCAAATGGTTTTGAATGAGTTAGTGTTTTCTGTGTGTGTTTACCGATTTATATTTGTGTACAATGTTTAATACAGACAAGTTAATAGGTTAGTTAACTGGTCAAGCTCCTTTAATCCATTGTCACAGACAAACCATGTTTATGGGACAAAAAGCTCGATGAATACTCAGACAGGAAAAGGCTTGGGTTGAAATTTCCAAAGTATGAAATTTTCAGAGCGATTCAAGTAGCTCGTCAAACAATGCTATTGACATACGGTAATAACAAAAAAACCTCAGAACTACGGTTTCGCATATGCTTGTAAAAGGCTTGAAACTCAAATAGTTTGTCCATTATGATGGGATAGACCCAGTGATTTCTGTTAACCTTTGGTTCCAGTCCACCACACGCTTCTCATACACAAACTAACATAATTGTTTTGTCCATGACTACTATGAGTTAATTGGACCTTGTTTCAATACAGTACGTAGGGAAAACCCAACAAGAAGCAGTTTAACCGCGTTGTGTGTACTGACACCGACTGCGCGGCTTAACTTGGCACGGTAAAACCGCCTTGTGTGGCCCCAGCCTAAGATGTTGAATCTCTTAGGTGTCTAAATAATTTGGTAAACCACTGATTGATGCTCCATACATTAAATAACACCACCAGTCCATATCAATCTTGAATAATATCTCCAGTAATGGAGATTTTTTTTACAAAATGGTCAATATTGTTCAGCTCTCTCGAGAAGTTACTTTTTTGGCAAATGTTGAATATACTTTCACCAATTAAAAATTTAATTTTTATGTTTCTATTTCCTTTTTTTTTCACTCTGAATCCGAAAATACAATAAGTTTTTGTCAGAAGGAGTCTTAAGTGTCTGTAAAACAAAATAAAAAATTACAAATTTAAGTTCGGTTAAGCAGTCAGGATGGTAATATAGCGGTTTGGACGTATGTGGAATGTGGGAAGCAAACAGCAGAATATATTCTACTCCATGCTCAATGGAATCGATTCATTAAGAGCGGATCGTTATGAACAAATTGTTTGCAGACTAATCAGTTCTTATTATTTAGGCATGTGGAAAAAGGTACGTCTGGTTTTATGCAGATTCGTGACTGGAGTCTAACATAAACTACCTAGTGCTACTTGTGGTTAACTCACATGGTGAGTGATGGTGGGCTGGGCTCATGACTTGCTGCTGGAGTCTAACATAAACTACCTAGTGCTACTTGTGGTTAACTCACATGATGAGTGATGGTGGGCTGGACTCATGACTTGCTGCTGGAGTCTAACATAAACTACCTAGTGCTACTTGTGGTTAACTCACATGATGAGTGATGGTGGGCTGGACTCATGACTTGCTGCTGGAGTCTAACATAAACTACCTAGTGCTACTTGTGGTTAACTCACATGATGAGTGATGGTGGGCTGGACTCATGACTTGATGCTGGAGTCTAACATAAACTACCTAGTGCTACTTGTGGTTAACTCACATGATGAGTGATGGTGGGCTGGACTCATGACTTGCTGCTGGAGTCAGAGTGTGGCACCACTGGATGGAACCTCCTACACCTGTATACATTCATTTATCATCATCTACTGTAAAACCTTCAGTGGAACGTTTTGTTCAAGGAAATGTTTACTCTCTTTGTTTACGCTTGACAAAGTCCTTGTGTTCTATGGTGGCAACTATGGTGCAACTATGGTGGCCTACTTGCACTTATTCTAAGTTTAACTAGCCGCTATCCCTTCTTTCAACAGTGGAATGGTGTTTTGTTATTTTAAGTGTTGTGACATAAAGTAATGAATTTTGTAAACAACAAAATTTCCTAGATGGGCTTATCTATGTCATGATTGAGATAATACTATATACAGTACAACTTCAATTATTGTCAACTGAAAACATTTTGATACTATCCAAGAACTTATAAAAAAGAATGTGTATTCAAAGACAAATCAGTAAATGACAACTCTGTCAGTGGCTCAACTATGGTGATTCAACTACGTCCATTTCTATTCTGAAGTTGGATACTGTTTTACATGGGAATGGGGTGATCCTACTTTCATCAACAGTCAAAGATATAAATTAATTAATACAATCATAATGCATTTCTTTATCTAAAGTTGAAATCAGTTGATCAAACCTGACTACTAAAACTATTTTCTATAGTTACCTGGCGTTGTTTTCCTGAGGGGGGAGGAGGTCTAGGGGTGGAGGTTGAGGATTGTTGCCAGAAGAGTCACTGGATACTTCACTGTTCTCCTCACCCCCTGGACCTCCGAGTAGATGGCTAGGAATGCCTCGCGACGCCCAGATTCTGAAACATCAAACCCCAATCTTTAGGTGATGATATTGGTAAGCGTTGAAATATTTTACATCATAGGATTTTTATAAGTATATTATTTTATACTGGACATTCTGTCTTGATGATTTAATTCATTTAGATGTTTAAGACCTTGGTGAATATTAACATTGACTATTGGATACTGAGTAGACATTCCATCTATATCGACTCGCTGTTGCCAATTTTTTATTTAAAAATACATAGTTGTGAGAGCCAGTCACAGAATGCACTAGTGTCTAAAATTCTATTTCCTACCTAATTTTTTGAGGCTGACAAAATTGATGGGCCATATCAGTTGCTATAGCTCGCAATAAGTCATTCCATCGTTTGACTTGTTAAACAATTTCGTGTATTTGAGGGAAATTAGTAATTTCGATCAGCACCTTCTGTCGGTGGTTTGGATCAACTACGACTTTTATTCAAAAACTGGCGACAATTTTAACATCGAGAAGGAATGTCTAGTTGAATCAATGGTCAAAAATACTAGCAGTTATCTGTCATTTGTTATTATCATTTAATATTTCTTAATTATTTATGTCATGTACTGAGCAACAGCAGCACTTAATGTCTTTAATTGAAGCTACCTATCAGGAGTTTTGACTCCTCCTTTCTGTACTCCATTCCTTCATGACCTCTCCCATAGATAATCGTGCTAAGCACAAAAAGCAGCTGTCAAACAATAAGTAATATTAGTATTTGATCAGAAATGTATATTGAAATTTGATTAATATAGATCAAGATTATCATGGGAGGTTTTGGAGGGCTTCACAGGGTTCCTTTGAATTGAATCCTACTAAGCGTATTCTTGGGTTATAGTCAATGGTTATATGATTCTGACTGAAGCTTCTCAAATCTAATTGATACAAGTTCAAAGTGCCATATTCTGTTCTTAAAAACATAGAAAATTATAATAAATAAAACACATTTAAAATGTCCATGTTCACTAATATAAGAAATACAAATAATTTGAGCCCACTATTATTTACAAATATTACTTTCTCCTGATTTTGAAAATAGTAAGTTCAGTACTAATTAGAGATAAAACTAAGAAAGAATGTGATTTATTACATGAGTTAAATTAAATTTACAGTTAGCTATTACTCGATATAGTCCAATAAGTTATGGTGAAATGGAACAGTTAAATAGCATACTCAAACCAAATTCTCAATAAAACTAGATAATTGTAATAAAAAAAGGGACAAACAAATTTCGGACAGTCACATTTTGAGAAAACCCATGCATTGACTTGGGAGGGGTTTTGTAACTCGTACTACAGAAAACATACTACTATAACCCAGAATGCTAACCGCATTGTAAAAAGCGTTAAGTACTCAAAGAGAGCTTTGCCTGTCAATTCGTAGGCAGCGCCACCAGCGTTACTATGCTGGTGTATTGTATGCTGGTGGCGCTGCCTACGAATTGACAGGCAAGGCTCTCTCCGAGTACTTAACGCTTTTTACCATGCAGATAGCATTCTGGGTTATAGTAGTATGTTTTCTGTGCTTGTACTGAAGTACAGTATTTGTCTAAGTTAATAAGCTGCATGTTTGTATGACACGTTTTCCTCAAATTATACATAATAAACTAGAATAAAACACAGTTATAAAATAACTCAATTCATAATTAATTAATCTAACACTTATTTTACCTTAAATATTGTAGCGATCTAGGAATGATATTTATAATATAAAAGTTATCTTAATATTATTTAACTTAAATTAACTGTTTTGTATTGAAATGAATGTAATGACTTTGAAAATAACGATCAGAACCTCTTAAAGTTTGTTTCATTTTGCATGATCTTTTTACAAATAAACTCTTCTGCTTAGAAATTACTTGGAAGTCTTTAAATGTTGGGACATGATAAAACTGTTTGGGGAAATATATTTTTGAATTAACACTTTTATGTCTAAAGAATATCAAAACGATTAACTATATAAGTTATTAAATTTTTGCCTGACCTTTTTTTTATATATTAGTTCATCATCCTATGCATATTTTGCCTTGTGGCATTTTCCAGTATCTCCTTACACCACTAGCACTAATGTACTTAATTTACACAAAACATTTTACAATCATTTTTTATAAATATTGTAAACCTCATTGATATTGATGGAGCAAGACCTCCTGAAGATGTCACACATGACAAAATGTGCATTAGGTGATAAACTACAATATCAAGAACTCAGCCAAAAAAGTAATAAATAATATCATTTAAATTCTTGTTATAGCTGTAAAAAAAAATTAAAATAAACTCTAGAAAAGGAGGATTTTACGAGGTAAAATATGTTATTTTAAAATGTTTCAATAGAGACAATAACAATATAAGCCTGCTGCATAAAGCCTACAAAAGTGAGCCAAAATACTAAAGCTGGCCACACTGGCAAGTTGTGTAGGAGTGTAAACTGAGTGTGGATGTGTGGACAATGGTACAATAGGACAAGACAATAGGTGGCATGTAAGGCACGTAATTGTGGACAATGGTACAATAGGACAAGACAATAGGTGTGTGGCATGGGAGTGAGGACAATGGTACAATAGGACAAGACAATAGATGGTGTGTGTGGTGTGATAAAACAGACAATACAGACAAACTTATTGCGTGTGGTGTGTACCTCTCCCTAGCCTGTGAGTCAACTGACCGTCTCGGCCGGGTGAACCTGAGTGGCAACTGTGATTGGTCGGTAACGTATTTGCCCTCGCCACCCCTGCGTCTACGCAGAGCTGGTGTCAGGTCATTGTCGCGTCGCGCGTCCGGCAATGTCGCGCATCGCCGTAGTTCCACAGGGACTATCGGCACCGCATCTCTCACACACTCTGCCTCCGCACTCAACATTTCAACATCGGCCCTGAAACAACAGTTCTATTCTAACTTGTGCTTTTTATTGATTCAAGAGAAAAGAGCTGACTTTAAATTTTTGACATTGAAATGTGTCTGTTGGCTTTAATAATTATTAGAATGATAGTTTGCGATACTGTAGATAAGTTGAACAAATTTACAGCAAAAAAATATTTCATAAAAGTCATACCGTTTCATTTGTTGTACACAATAAAAACTGTACAATAATCGAAAAGATATTTTAAAAACCCAAACAAGATTTATGTTTCGGGTAGGAGGATCTTAAATTTTTTTTATAAAAAAATGACCGACTTTTTTTAGTAAAATATGGAAAACGGTTATTACTATTCTATTTTAGCGGCTAAGATTTAGAAAAATAGTCATGCAGTATAAAGAGGTTTACAAATGATTGTGCTACGTGAAGCTTCTTTTCTAACACCGAATAGCTTTGTTAAAACTTGTGAAGTGTCAAAAATGTACACTCTTCTGTGATAAAAAAAACATGAAGGATTAAGAAAAGTATCTATTTTTAATAAAACTATTGGTTTTTGGTCATGCAATATACGATAAGTGTGTTACGTGTGACAACGTTGTAATGGTTAGATATCATCAACAAACAGAAAACAAAGCAGGCTTGAAGCTTTGAATCTGCATTAGTATAACTTCACAAATAGCGGCACAAAGACTATGGGAAATGGCATGGAAGTGGTAGAAATATCAATATAGACAAACAACTAATATATACATGGACAGTCACAAAATAGAAGTTGAATTATATTGAAATAGAACAGAAGGTATTTCTCGCTGAAAACTATTACTAAGTAACTAAAGGACTAGGTAGTAACCAAAGCATTGAGCTTTTAAGCAAATTATTGAGTTCAACAACTGTAAACAATCTTGGAATAAATTTTCTAAGGGTGAATATCTAAAAAACTAAAATAAATGTTATATAGATAGAGTTGTAATGCCTGATTTTATTCATAAGGGACCAACATTTTTGGAGCTACAAAATAAGTTTTACATCATAATTGTCAGCAGTAATGGTTAGGAAACTCAACTCATGACGGAGGTTTTACTTCTGAAACCCAAAAGGATATACTCCTCTACACATTGAAAATCCCTTACAAACTAGTCAATAAAAAAAAATTATATTTACAAAAAAAGAAAAGGAAAATTGGTACAAACAGATATATTATTGATATACATGGTAATAACAAATGAATAGATTACTTTTGTACGTAAATTGATGAGTGAACAAATCAAAGATGGTTCTGAAATATTATAAAATATTACAAGAGTTCGTCATTAATTAGAATCACTATGTTGATTGTAGGTAATCATGTGTTAAGGCAATTAATATTTTTAATTATTTGATACTTTATACTAGTAATTTTAACGGGCTCTCAATTAAGTACCATCCCAAATTTTGTTGGAGTTCGTAGTGTAGTTCATTAGCTTAAAAAATAAGATCCGAGTGTGAGAACGGAAATATAAATTTGTGCTAGAGGGCAGTCAAATAACTAAATTGTATGTACTAAAGTGATACCAAGCATCGTACTCAGTGCGGGATATAGGGTACTTGCAGCCCTAGGCAAAAATAACCTGAGCAGCCCCCACCCCTTAAGTGGAATTCTCCACGATCGCAATGAAATCAAAGTAAATCATAATCCCAATTTGCTAGGATTTTTCACTCAGATTTAGCGAAACCTGCCATAAATATTAGGATTGTGTGAATAAATTAGATATTCAATTGAATTGAATGAATTATTTAAACATTTTTTATTGTTCTTTTAAAATTACAATACAATATATTACAATAATGCAATAAAATTATTCTGCATTAAAAAAATTATAATGGAAACTGTGCTGTCATTAAAGACTGGTTAGAATCTTATTTTTATATACTGCTACATAATAGTTTCTTCATTATAAACAAACCAAACCGTACCATTCTTCCCTACTATAAGGAAAACACAGTACCACCCAATTAGGACCTGTAATTTTGCTATTTTTCACTCATGAGAAATCAACTCTTCTTTTACTTGACGATAATTTTGAGGTAGCAAAACTACTGCATTAAATGGTATAAACCTCTAGCTCTCTGTGTGGAAACTGAAAATTAAAAAAGATATCATGCTGGTTTGCAAAGTCGTTTGAATAAATGTAGGTTTACACGTTTATACCAAAACAAAATCAGATAGTTTTTGCTCGAGTCATTGTTCAAACAGATACATATATATCAGGATGGTGTTTTTGGCTTCTGGGGACCTCAAAACAAAAAAGTAAATTGGTCCCGGGTCCAGATCTTACCACGAGACCTACGGTAATAGCTTATTCCCCATATGGGAAATTCGCTAAAACAGAATCTCTATTCTTTACAAAGAGTTGTCATTATAAATTACATCCCCCCAAAAAAACCTATCCCAACATAATCTATCATGTTTTAATAGACTGAATAAATGCAGCTAAATATATCACCGACTCTGTTTGATTTGTTGTATAAAAGCTGTTTGGTTTATTTGTTTGGAGATTAAACAATTAAGGTCTATTAGATGTTATGATAATTAATATGGAAATCTGATTCAAGATCATCGAGGTCAACTTAATTTTGATGTTAGCCTCCAGATTACTATGAATATATGAATTGGTATAAATACTTTCAATGTAATCCACATTATTGCTAATGCTGCAATTAGTTTCAACTTTCAAGAAGTCATCTTCAGGTGTCAAAGGATGTCATGATCACTTACTTCATCAGAAGGTCGTCAATTCACATATGGTACACAGACACACAAACACGAATACAAGACTGCAGTCAAACTCTACGGTTTATATCCATCCGATTGTGACATGTCTATGTACAATGTGTGAATTGACTACCTTCTTATGAAGTGATTATAACATTCTACTCCATATCAGGAACACCTGAAGATGAATTCTTGAAAGTGGTATTAGCAACAACTTGAAAACAATTTGCGTTTTTATTGAATCAAATTTGTAATCAAACTTTTATAAATTATTATGTTAAATATGTTGGTTTCAACCTCGGACAAACAGTTTCCCTTATATTGTCAAAGGATTTTTAAATGTTCAAAGATAAAAGCCCCTATATTTAATCGTAAGAAAAATAATCATGTATTTGTAAATCTTCGGGATTCCAACATAATAGGGTATTGATATTTTTATAATTTTTGAATGATTTGATTTTATATTGATAAGAGTTGTATTTTTAGTGAGAGTCCCAATACAACTTAGTCTTGCTACCTGATATGGCAGTATCTAGTACCTACCCTTCTTTACGATCAGAATCATGCGGCCACTTGCAATGTATGAGAGGTATTTACGTGCTGATAAGTCCAAATGGTTCTATTATTCTAGTTAAGGATTCAGTGAGGATTGTACGTCAAAGCCAAAAATTACAGAGACATTGTTTTTTGGTGAACATGAATAAGCATGATGAATGTAAGCGTGTCACTTCTAGCAAAAAGGCCACCAAACTGAAAAGATATTCCAGATCTGAATTTTTTTCATTCTTAACGAGAGTGGCGGCAACTTCTTCATCTGCCAAAAAACAATGATTTATATGTTCATAAGTGTTGTTAACTTGTAAAATAGTAGATTTACAGTTTAACTCGTATTCAAGATAACCAGTTTGATAATTAACAGTTAATCTTAACAGTTTGGAATGAGGCCTCAATTAAGGAATTTTTCAGGACATAAAGGGTTAAGTATGGGTACCTGGGCAAAGCGTCGATTACGCTTGCTCGAGGACTTTTGCTCCCAGAGACGGGGATCGGGATTTTGCTGGTTTTGGAGTTGGACCCCTTGCCCCTGTAACCATACAATCAAACATGTCTCATCCAGCCCCTTTCTCACTAAACAAGCTCGATAAGTTTTACTCGTGTCAGAAAATGTTAGGTAATATGAGTTTTTTCAGTTATTTGGTGATATTTTGCAAAGCATACTTTGCATTTAATTTATGGTTAGGGTGTGCTCAATAAAAATTGTTACATTTAAGTGATTTTTTGAATTAAAAAGTGTGTATGCCTAATTTTTCATTATAATAGCCTAAATTATCAAGTTGACATAGAGAATGCTCTTGAATTTCAGACACCATTGAGTCAATCACAAAAAAAGAGTATAAATACATTGTACAATTTATTGAATTAATTATAATAATAAAACAAATTGATTTTTTATTGATGCATTTAATTGGGGAAATTTATAAATAAAAATAACGGTTTAGCTATTTTATTTCTGTAGCATTATTAATCTGCTGACATTTTAGTGACTTCCACGACCTCCAAGTAAAATCAGTGACTTTAATAACTGATAGACATCATTATGGTAGCGAATAGTACATACAGCTAAGCTCGATGGTGCCTACCTTATGTAACTGTGTACTTATATTTACAATTTTTTAAAGCAAAGGAAAGTTTGCTGATGAACAAATGATTCTAATGCAGATTGTAACTATCAACTTATCTGTTAGAAAGCTCAATGGAACTACAGGTTGATGAAGCTATAATTGCTTTAAAAACTTCATTGTCAATGAGATATTCACAGCATGCACTAACTTAATATTTTGCAAAATTCAGCCTATGCCCATTTCATGCTTGATATTATCGTAAGACATAAAATAATCTTGTAAAAAGGAAAAAAACTGCTTTTATTTCCATTAATTCTAAAAAGAGAAAGAAAAAAGGAGTGTACAGGAAGAAGAAAAAGGCCACATCAGAGTTAGAATAATATGTTCTATTATTTGTCAATATAAATTTATTTCAAAATAAAATTTATATGAAATATGATACTGTGTAGGATGTTAGAATAGATTATTTATAAAATAAGTCAATATACAACTTCTTTATATACAAAAAATCAAAATACTTTCTTTTTAGCACAAAAAACAGCTGTAGTACAAACTGTAGTAAATAACTGTAAAAATGGCCCATTTGATGAATCGGGCCACACTTACCTTTGTTTTATCGTAGTGCTAGATTCTTACACCTCCCGCTCAAAAAAAGGAAATCATAAAAAAAGCCATGGGATTCTGATGTGTGTTAGTTTGAAATATATTAACCAAGGTTTCAGTGCTACAATAATATACAGGGTGATTGATATAAGTGTGCCAGCCGTTTTATTCGAAAACTATAAGAGATATCAGAAAAAGTTAAATGGTAAGTGCCTTGGATTTTTTATTTAAAAAATTGTAGTCAAGTCAAAAAAATTATTTTAGCCGCCATTTTTCCAATATGGCCGCCAACTTTGATTTTTCTTATGGAACACCCTGTATTTTATGATGTATTCTGGTAGAAAATGTAATTTTAAGACGATTTTATTCTTGTGATTTTTTTCATAAACCTAACCGTTTCAAAGATAATAATGGTTAAAGTTTTGAAATTTCTGCATGAGAAAGAGTTTCGATAAAGGCCTAAGCAAGCATGCCAGCAGTTTTATTCAAAAACCATTCGAAATTTCACAACTTAAACCATTATTATCTTTGAAACGGTTAGGTTTATGAAAAAAATCACAAGAATAAAATCGTCTTAAAATTACATTTTCTACCAGAATACATCATAAAATACAGGGTGTTCCATAACAAAAATCAAAGTTGGCGGCCATATTGGAAAAATGGCGGCTAAAATAATTTTTTTGACTTGACTACAATTTTTTAAATAAAAAGTCCAAGGCACTTACCATTTAACTTTTTTTTATATATCTTATGGTTTTCGAATAAAATGGCTGGCACACTTATATCAATCACCCTGTATAGGCAAACGGTAGCCCATTCAACAATGCCACTTAAATGCTACTAAATATTTGGTTGACATCTCTACTTTATACAATGTGAGTTATTTAGAGATAATTAAGTAAAAAACTAAATTGTATCAGAAACAAGAAAAACTAAATCCTGTACAATTGTTTTAAAATGAAAGGAACCACCAACCACAAATCTTATAAAACTAATCAAATAATAATACAAAGATTACAGCCTTCTGCCTCCCACCACAACTCTTTTTTGTAAGTCTTAACCTTTTCTGTACATAGTTAATGGAGTTTCTGTAAACTTAGTCTCACTGAAACTGACTTTAATTTTAAAAATAAATTCATAAAATAAAATTTTGAAACTGCTGAACAATTTCAGTTACAAATTGATCAGATTTGTTGTTGTTTTGTATTCCATCTTTAAAACTATTGAAATTAAAAGTTAGAGCTTAATTAAAAGTTAGTTGAACAAGAGTTAGAGCTTTAATTTTTAAACTCTCTTGTATAGATTCATTTTTTATACTATTTATTTTATATGTCTTTATAATTTCGACTATAATATTTACGATTGGTTTAACTTAAAGATGCAAACTACTGTTAACTGTATTACTAATAAATTACATGTCCTGAATCACAATTATCATTAACACTTCTAAAACTTTAACATATCCACAAAGCAGATTAAAGGACAAAAAAATATTTTAAAAGAAGCATATTTTTTATTTGTTGTTATAAGAATTTGATGGTGAGAATCAAAATTTATATTACTGTATGTTTATTATAACACAAACTCGAAGTTGAACTAGAGTCCTATTTTCAACTAACTATTCACTTGTAAATTAGGGATGATAGAATAATTATCTTTTTAAATTCAACAAATTGGACGTCATTTAATTCAACAACAATATTGAGTACTCGTGATAATGGAATAGAATGAATCAAACATTTTACTACGGTAAACATACAAAATATTAGTCAACAGTACTTTTACTTAATATTGCTTAAAATTGACCTAACTGATTATCTGTAGTAGGCCTACATTTGGCTCTCGATAATCCTTCACTTATGAGACCAAGAAGATGTCTAATTACTGAAAACAATACTAAACGTAACCTAGGACCTAAATAAATTTGATTTATGATGCCTTCTAGTGAACTCTCAATCTATTGGGCATTCATCTTAATCAGTTAAGGCATAATTTTGCAAAAAAAATATGATTTTGGATACAAGAAACTAATTGATTTAGCTTATTAACTCTTGCGTAAAGCTGTATCTCGAATGCCTGAATATCTCAATCCATTTAGGTTAATCTGTATAAAAGTGAACCCTTCATATCCGACCTCGACATAACCGACTCCTCGGGATATCCGACCTTAACACGTTGACTGCTGAAAACAACGTACAGAAGCCCCGCCACGCAACCGAATCAGCCAACGCAATTGGCATTCAAATATTTCAGTCTGACGAATCACAAAAGAGCAGTGGTGACTGTGCTGCGTTACCCCGAGAGTGGATGTAGTTCACTGAAACACCCAAAGGTAGCAGCACTGCACGGATCCGTATCCAGTGTCTTTGTAATGTGGGTTGAAGAGAAAACATCCCCGAAACCGGGACAAAAGCATTGCCAGACAGGATTTTACGGGAAATTTTAGTACCAACCTACACCAAAGTAAAGCTCGCATTCCAAGCTGGCAGTCTGGCAACGATTATAACGTCTCCGTCTGAGGCTAAGCTCACACTGACTCAATATATTTCTGTTGGTCTGGTGCCGACTTTTGTCGGCGCGCGCCACATTGAAGTGCTAGCAACGCCGACTAAAGTCGGCATTAGCAGTCAACGTGTTAAGTCCAATTTAAAGCTACAGATCCATAGAGGTGTGTGAGTGGCTTGATTTTTGAGTATGGCCTCACCTACAAGCTCAAGAGATCGAACACTTAGGTCACAAAATCAAGATTGAGCCTAGCTTTCACAATTGCGATGTAATTGCGAAAGCAGGACTTGTGTGCCAAGATCGCACAATTAAAAAATTCACGATTTCACTGCAATCGCAAATGACGACAACTGAGTTTTAGTGATCGCAGGAGGCAATGATGATTTCTACACAACCCCGGGAGATATTTAGGATTCTGCCATGATCGCGGAAGACGACGGTGATTTTTCAATGACCACGGAAAATTATCATGATATTACCACGATAAAATTGAGACATTGTGATGTATTGCAATGTATAAGCAAAGTCTACAGTATTACGGTTATGATGTATCATATTCAATGAACACTTTTTAAGTACAGGACAGTAAATTACTCACATTTTTTGCTAAAGATTATTTCATAATATGTATTCATTGCTACTTATAAGTATATAGGTTTTTTTATGAAATACATAAACTGTCTTATTTCTAAAACGAGTTTTTATCTGACCTATTGACTATTCCGACCATGGCCCGTTCCCGTTGTGGTCGGATATGAGGGGTTCTACTGTATATAAGTTTAAATACAACAAAATTGGTACTTTAAATAAGCAAACCTCCTAATTAAAAGATTGTTGGTCTTTTCCACTGACAGCAGGACTTTGCACCTCAAAAGATGGGAGACTCCGGCTCCTGTTACAGCATGCATTGAATTGGAGTATCGTCTTGATTGGCTGGTGAATCATTCATCGAAGCTATGATTACCGAATGTATTGGTCTGTCAAGCGTGGCATTATCGAGAATCAACTGCATATAGTATAAGTGGCAAAAAACAAGCATATTAAGAATAAGCAGAAGATGAAGCAAGAAGCAGAAGATGCAAGCCAGTTTACATCAAGTATGAAGCATGAAGTCAGACTTTCACCAGCCATAGTTGAACACAGCCTGTTGCTACTGTACTTCCAAATGACACTATTCATGTATATATTTGTGCAAAAAATTAATAAAGATCTTTTGACTATTCACGATTCTATAATATTTGATTTGAGAACAAATAACAAACAGTCACAGTAAGAGTGGAAATTTTTTAGTATTTAGGTATTAAACTTATAATTGACAGTTACAGGAAAACATTTTATGTTCATCTTAGTTGAGCTTTTCTTTTACTTGAGTGAATTAAACTTGTGACGAAGCATTTGACTTTCATTGTTTTATCCTTCAAGAAAAACAATTATCGCTTTGGATACCATAGCCTAATCTACCAAATCATTGTAAACCTGTAATTTGTCTTCATAGTGGGAAAATCAAATAATTTGTTTGGAATCCTAAACCTTTGTCAAGTAGATATGGTCATGATTGGAAGTGAAAATACAGCAACTGAGAGCAATACTAAGACAATTAGCAAGACAATAAAAAACCTTTGAGGAGTTTAAGGAAATCACAACCTCTTTAATGTGGAAGAAAATCATGTCTAAATTGGAGCCGTACACTAGAGTCATCTAATTTGTTCTATAGTTTAACTCCGTTTACTTTTCCTATGATAATTACAGCACTTGATAGAATAAACACTTAACAACTTTTAATTTAATTATGGGCACCCGAGCTGAAAAATTATAAAGAAGCAAAAGTTGATTCTTTATATTGTTAGGGTTATGTAATAATAATATATTGTTATCCTCTAAAGCCTTTGAAGCAGATTATGAATATTTAGTTTTAGGCTATTTTATTGTTTTAGACAGTTAAAAAGGAGTCATTTGACTGATGTTCAGTTTAAATAAGAAACCACTAATCAAGACAATCACACATGAACCAGTTATATCACATGAAATGATGAAGTCTTCAATTGTTGCTACTGCCACTGCCACCGTTTGAATAAAGATAGTAAGCCATTTCCGTGCAACATAATTTATAGCAAGTTCATTAATCCATTTAAGTATTTTTTTCTTTTGCACTAAGGAACATGTACAAATAAAACCTCTAGACATCAATGAAAAAAGTGGATGTAGGCTAGTTAACTTCTAGTGCTTCAATTAGTTAGGTGATTAGGAAGACCAAAATCTGCTACAATAACATTCAATCTCATAGGTCGACTGAATGAAAATAGGGTAGGGAGTGGAGCAATCAATAAATATCTGTAGAGCTATATGAGAAAAGTTGGTAATTTTGTTTTTAACTATTTAGATTATTAAATAGTGCATACTGCATTCTGTGTAAAACATCGTAAGAGCCCAAATACTGTGTAAATTTCACACTTTGTGCTTAACTTTAAAATAAATATCAAAAAGTAACGTTATTTAAAAAAATAAAAACATGGTTATATTACACACTAGTAGCATAAGACCTCTGTGGCAGTTTATGCAAGTTTAGAAATTAACCTCTCTTTAACAAACAAATATTTAAATTAAAAACAAAAACTGTTAGATTTACATTATTGTTGTCAGTTTATGCAATATTTCGTTAGTCTGAAGTATACAGTAATCCTGTTAGGCTGTTAACATATTGGTCATTTATGGTTTTTTATTTAATGTTACTATTATTGTTAGAAAGTAGAAACAGTAAAATATCCCAATACGTCTAAAACTGGCTACATAATATATTTTGGGGCATATAAATCAAGCTTGTCAACCAAAAAATTCTGTCCTTAAACAACTCTGAACAGTAGAGGCTTAATTGTCCAATTCTCTCCGAGCGCAATTAAGTAATTGTGGATATTTATAGGCATGCACTGTGGATGCGTACTCCCTGGTGTGGATTAACGTCTCCACATCCGCAGTACTATCCTGATAATTAGACCATTTAGTTAATTACAAGGCAAACATGTGGTTCGGATTCCACTATAAACTGTAGGTCCCTTAGTTGCCATTAGCTGTATGGGCTATTAATTAACAGCTGTGTCTAAGGAACATGTCGGCCTTAGTCAACAAGACTACAAGATCACGCCACTCATCCTACACTCATCTCCATTCATACTTGGCTTAAAATACCTACATTCGTATGGTGGCCATTAAATAAGAAAGTATTAAGTTTAGTAAAATCACATGCTATTTCTGTGTGATATCGCTGAACACCGTTGCAGGTACATTGAGGCAACCTCTTTCTTTGCCTTCCATATATAATTAAAAATTCACCCAAAATTTTAGGGACAAGCCTCACTTGACTGTACTTTGACATAGTTTTGCGCGTTGCATACCACAAAAGTTAATTCCTTATATCTCTTTGCTTCCCCTCCCATCTTTCATATAGAGACCTTTGGCTGAATAGTCATGAATCGTTGTACCATCATACATTTACAGTAGTGATGCTTTATCAATCTAGTTTATCTTCAAGTTTGAGTATGTAATTTGAATGTTTTCAATGTTTAAAAAGATTTTTTTTTTTATTTTAAAATGGTTTTTATTATTTTTCAAGTTTTCCTAACTTTTTGGGGGTAGTTTAGGTTGGATAATTGAGACTTTAGAGAAAAATTATTAAAACTTGGCATGTAAAATATAAATTTTACTTAACCTTCCATCGCGCGCATCCCGGAAGTTACCTCCGGGTCACTACATTTTTTGTTATAAAAACCATAGTTTGCGTTCAGCAGGGCTGTCGCCTGCCGTACCTCACGCACCTCTTTCTCGGAATCGGTTTTGGCTACTTTTACTTCTTTCCCAGTTATCGGCCGACCTTGGGGAGTAGTTTGCGTCACTACTGGAAGTAGCGTACGCCCTGTGATGTAACGGGTTTCCCGGAGCCTAGTTCCGTGTGCGCCCTTGTGTTTGATCTTATTTTGTGATAGGCTATTATAAAATGGATGAAGAAGAACGAATTGCGCAATTGTTGGCTAAAGTTAAGAGGAAGGACAAGGAACAACCTTCAGTGGAAAGACCTACCTGGTGCATTTGTTCGGTAACCTTTTTTTCGGGAAAAAGAGCTTTGACAAAATGAGTAGTCCTTCTAACAAATGATTTTTTCCATTAGACAAAATAAGTCGTCCTTTTAACAAATGATTTTTTTTTATTAGACTAAAGGGTAAAGGTGTTTTTATGTTATACACTATTGAATTTTTTTAAATATTTTATACGATAGTACTGTATATGTACAAAAATAAGATATTTTTTTATCCACAAGACTTACATATTTTTATTGTTTATTATAACTTTTTGTATTTTTTATACAACTTAAGTAAAAGTGTACCTAATAACTCATAAAACATGTTTTTCTTATAGTTTTATTGATATTAAAATGCTTTTTACTCATCATTGTATAGTTTTTGTATTCCCGGAGGTAACTTCCGTGAGCGCCCTTTGGTGTTTGAAAATCAATGCGCCTGACGGAAGGTTAAACATTTAGTTTGACAAATTAATGCCTTAACACAAAATGATTTCTTGTTCTAAATATTTCACAGCTGCATCAATATGATATTCTCATTGGCTAAGTATACAAGCTGTAACTTAACCGACAATATAAACATTATTGAATTGGTTGACAACAATTATACTCTACCACTACGTTTATGTTGAAAACACATCTGTATGTCCCTGAAACGACTTTTATAGATATGAAGGAATAAAATAAGGTTCCTAAGTTATAATAGGGATGTTAAAAATTCATGCAGCGAGTTAACTGTTAAATAAAATAAAACAGTATAGAATAAAACCCTTTAATTAATTACACATAAAAAATATGAATACAGTTTTTAAGAGATCAAGTGAAGTAAAGCTGTGGTCAGTGCGACATAAGCAAATGCTGCAGAATAGACATTGATTTAAGCTTTGCGGAGACAAACCTGTTTTGTTGAGAATTGGACTCAGGAACAGGAGAAAGACTGTGTTGGGCCTTGCTGTTCTCTTCTGTGGCATCGAAGTAGACTGAGGCAGGCTCTTCTTTACCTGGACTGACAGGACTGTGCCCGGGACCTACAACACGAGGTATCACTAGCAAATCACATTTTATAAACATTTATTGTCAGAAATTTAAGGACCGGATGTAACGCGATAGATAGATGTAACAAGAATAAATACAAGGGACATTCAGAAAGTAATCTCCAGTAAGTTTTATAGATAGCAAGTGATTAAAAACTATTTATTATTTTCATTTTGAAGTGTTGCCAACCGGAATACTTAACAATTATACTAATCTATAGGTTAAATACCTTGTTGTCAATGTAATCCTTGGCAAACACAAGTTCAGAAAAAATGTTCTAAATACAACCATGTAAATCTAATTTTGCTACAAAATTATAATTTCCTTACTAGCTTAAGGGTTGTTAAGAGTATTTAGTCGGTTAATTTACCTTTTGCCTCAGATTTGGTATGGGAGGCGTTCAGGTCAGGAGGGTTGTTTTTGGTCTCCCGCGCAGTGTGAGTGGATCCATCGTTGGATCGGTCTACTACTCTTATTTCCAGTCGACCTGAAACTGGTCTTAACTCCATCTCATCTAAACAAACAATGCAAAACTATAACCTCAGAGATACAAATTTTAAGGAAGTTAAGTCTTATAACAAGATATTAAGAAATTCAGCTACAAAGATGCATCTATGAAATCAACATCAGGCCGGTCTATCTATGAGAATGAGATTGCATGCAAAAACAATCTATTGTATTCAATTCAATTCAAATTATCTTTATTCATCAAGTACATTAGGAATATATACATGAATACAGAATAGTGTCACAAAAGCAGAATTTACTTCAATTTAGTCAATACTTAACTTAGTCAATTTAGTCAGTAGTCAATGATACTACTAGTCAATTCAGAAATTTAGTCAATATTTCTGTATTAAGCCTTGTCAAATTTGCATAATTTATAATAAAACAATTTTTATTAATTAGTATACGGTACAATGGAACCTCGATAACAAGACTCTCTGGCGATTATTAAATAAGACTAGTTTGACTTCTTATGGAGGTTTGCAAAAGAATGTGATTAGCAGTGAAAAAATTCAGAAGATTTGAAAATAATATCTGTTATCAAGGGTGACTTTTTATTGAGGTTCCACTGTACCTACATTCCCGAACATAAATAGTGTAATTAATTGAATCCTCAGGACTATATAAGTAAATTTAAGTAAAGTCAAACCATTTTTATTCCTAAGATATTTTTATAAAAACAGAATTAAATATAAATAATTTTATAGCCCATATCTTAAATATACAATCTTTCCTTTGGATGATAACATACACACCTAGATGGGCTATAATGAAAATCTTAGTTTTAGCAACTTAATCTGTCTATGGAAATGCTGTGCTAGAAAAATAATTTTACCTGCTTGATCATAGAACTTGTTTTAACTCACAAGTACGATTTATGACTTTCAACTTGAATAATGAGCTCACTATAGGATATTTTGGTACAACAATAATAACATTATGTCAACAATACTGGATTTTAAGAATTCTTCTGCACTATTTGGAACAGGATCTCGGTATTCATGGACTCTTTTTCTAGTTTTAAATCCTAAGATTGGAAGAACTGTCTGAGATTGAATTTTCCTAACTACATCTGTCATCAGGATAAAGACAATTAATACAATTCTATAATTTTTGTAGCATTTACCTTCTTCGGCAGTTGTTTTTGCTGTTGCTAAAGACGACTCTTCCTTTTCAACTGATTTAGTGACTGCTATCGGACGAGAAGGAGACGATTCTTTTTCTAGGATAGGATATGTCAGAGCTATGTTCTGTAAAAAGGTAAAAACATTATAAGCCTCAGCAACAACATATAGTCTTCAAATATTACATGAAAAGTATTAATATAATAAGATAGGCAACCATATGGAGTTTAGCGTGGGCAATTTTTATCCATGTTGCGTGCTGCTTCAAGCGGTAATATCGAGCCCTAAAAATATGTGTAACCAACGGAAGTGCAAACAATGGCATTGTTTCCCATTGTACGTACATGTCCATCGCAACTTCGAGCTCGAGTGCCCGGTTGCCGGTTCATGGATGAAGTTTACTGTGTCTGCTGCTTGATTTTTTAAAATCGCAGAGGCGCAGTGTGCGTGTTAGTGTTAAAAAATACAATTTAATTGATTTACTGATATACTTCAACATTTAATCATTTACTTGGTTGAAACACAAAAAACGTTATTCTTTCTTTTGAGATTGGCGTAATTAACATGATGAAGTAGTTGGTAGTTTCCAACTATGTAAAGAAATTAGTTGTTTATATCGTTGGTATTATCGCGATCAGGAGGCTTAAAATTGTATTTCATATCATATTAATAACCATTCTAATCATTCTAGAACTTTTTAATATTGCAATTTCCACTTGTAAACTTTAATTTAATGCTATTTTATTCTTAAACGTGAGCAAACTTAATATTTAATTATTCTCATTTGAAAATTTTTATTCCTCTGCAATAATAGATATACTATAAGAGTATTTCTTTGAAAATAAATTATTATTCTTTTTTGGCCCGACCCGATCTTGGCCCGAACAAATCTCTGAACCCAACACGGTCTCACGGGCCTTCCGCTGGCCTGACCTGACCCGAAAAATTCGTCGGGGACCCGTAGACCCCTACTTAAAGGTAAGCTGGCTGCTATCCTCCTTATTCTTCAATTCATCAGCATGTATGGTTCATTTAAAAAAGACAATGCACTTAATAATATATGACATACCGGAAGACTGGACCTGCGAGCAGTATCAGACTGGGAACCTTGCGATGCCACTCCTCTCATGACGTCTACTGCGTACACAACATCGTTGAATGCAGCTTGCTGCAACAGAGGGGGTTCCAGTCCTCCCCTGCGTAGACAAATGTAGCAAATTATCACAAGTAGTCAATTATTTTCACAACAAGTATAATTTTTGCCAATCGTAAACCACAATTTATTCCATAACCATTGGCCTAAAATTGTAGGAATGTACCATGACACCTGAATTTCACATTACTGAACTGTTCTGTTATGACATCATTTCCCCATGATTTTTTTCGGGGCTTTTTCTGTTCATATAGCCGATTTTGGTTTAGTTTGTTGCTTAAAGGTCTAAGATTTTTTGTACTAAACATTGTTTGTTATTTCTAATACATAAATAAACAACAAACTCTTAATCATACTTATAACCAAACAATTTTCCTTGATATTTCAATTTTTAATTTTTAACTACTGTATTAAGCATTACTGACATTTAAAACTTAATTTCCTTGGTGGTGAATGTAAAATTCACAAAAATAGAATCACTTCTTTTTTATTTCAAATTAGATGGATTTTCAATACACATAATTCACAAACATAAGCTACAATAAAAAGATGAGTGAATTAAGATAAAGAACCTGATTTTTGCAGTGACGTCAGGTAAACTCCAGGCTTTAGGAAGTGTTGGTTGAAGTTCAGGGAAGTTTTCAATGCCTGCGATGTTAAGACACTGAATCCTAATAGCGTTTGTGTTCCCGTTATTGTTGGCATTCATACTATTACTCTGCAAACAAAGGACAAACATTTAAAACTTTTGTTAAGGTTTTTGTTGGTCCTGGAAAGTGGAAACATGAATTTACTACAACTTAAAACTTACTAGCTACCTTGAATTCTTGTGGGATGAAGCTAAGTGACCAACCAGTACATCAATAACGGCCTCGTTTGTTTAACCTAATAATGACCTCCACAAAACAGTTCTGTGCAAGAAGCTGTTCTGGTTGTCAAATTTGTTCTGATGAAGAATATTTGCCGACTAACAATACACAATTATACTATAGGCCTACTATACTACAATTATACTAGATTACAATAATAGTAATCTAATAATCATACACCAACTATAACATACGACCTTACAAAAAACCAAGTGTATAAACTACACAGTTTGGGAAAAGTTGGTTTAATTATACCATAGTTTAGCATTTCCATTTTAGTTTAGTTTAGTTTTATGTTTCAACCCTTTTTACACTAGGGAAGTGTGCTGGTCTTGTTGTTAGAGCGTGGGACTTCCGTCCCTGTGGTTCCAGGTTCAAATCCCACCAAATCACCAATGGATTTAATCTAAATGATATTGCCGCGACCCCTAGGTCAAGCCTTAAGTAATGTGAAAAAGAATCCCAGGCTTGTGCCTAGCGTCCTAGGACAAAAAACCATTTTACGCTTATTTTGTGAACACCATAACAACCAAAAGTGCACTTACAGCAAGATGGGTCTGAGGAAGAACATTAAAACTTTGCTTTTCATTTCTAGTGGAGTCTTCGCTGATTCTTGAAAGGTGTGGTTCTTGAGTAGCTGCTAGGGCTGGATCTGGCGCCCGAGTTGAGGGACTCTGCGACTGACTCACGGCTCTCCCATCACTTGCCACAGCTACTACCATGGCACCTGACTCTATCGCCCCCTGTCACAAAACATACTATACTCAATCTCAACCCATCAGACAAATAACCTGAGATAAATTGTAAAATATAGGTACTACAGTGGAATTTGCTTAATTTGAAATTCCTTAGATTCAATATTGATCTCAGTCCCTAATACTACCATATCAATGTATCGTAGATTGCATATTATTTTGGATCATTTCAATATGTTTACCACTGATGAAAGGCAAGTGGGGTTAAACAAGATCAATAAGCCAACAACTGGCATCAAACAATACACCGCATAGTGTTGTAATATGGCCTAATACTGTGCACCACATAACCCAGTCATTGCATTCTCTTTACTCTCTCATGCCCTTTAGACTCGGTGACACTATTTGACATTGTCTGGTCACTTCTTAGCCGCAATTTCCCCACCCTTATTTTGTCCATCAGTATCCGCAAAAATTCAATTTTCGCTAGTACAATAACACTAACAGAGATATAATATTTGTAAGTACTGAAACATGTGTTTTCAGTAAAGATGTGTAATTGAATAAGTGTGAATTTTAAATTTTTAAACCCCTCGTTAACTATCAAGACTTAAAACTGGATAGGATTGGTACTTATCTATTTGAAATTTTTTAAATTTAATAGTCCGTTCATTGATGAAAAGAACCTACTACAGTCAACTACTCAACTAATCAACCTACTACAACCTAACAGACACTTTCAAATCCTTTGGAATTTTTATGTAAGTATCTGTATTGTAGTTCTAGATTCTTAAAAAATATCCGATTTTTTATAACTAAGTTAATTCTAGTTTGCTTTAATAAGTTATAGACAAATATTGCTAGTTAAATAGAATGTCGAAAAATAAATGTGATTTATTAAAAAGTAGGATTTATTTACATTAACACAAGCCAGTCTTGATTAGATCAATTTAAGCTCTACTAGGTTCTTGTATTCAGTACGCTCCCAATTAACCGAGGTTGATGGGACCGAGACTACTTCGGATACCGAGAATCTCGGATAACACGGAGATCGCTTAGATTTTGAGGTTAGGAGTCTCGGTACCACACGGAGATCGCTTAGATTTTGAGGTTAGGAGTCTCGGTACCACATTAGAAAGTCAAATACTTATTATGTATGACTTTTACATTGAATTAGTAAAATGTAATTTTAATGCAAATAATGTTCTGAATAAAGTAGTGCTATTAAAGAAAACAACAACACACGAGGGTTCGGATAACTGGGGCTCGGATAATCGGGGCTTGGATAATCGGGATTGTACTGTAATTAAAACAGCGTGTAAATTTTTTTGAATCCATCAATTTAATTACTAATGAATTAAAAAGATTACATCCTCCACTTGAATTTCTTACAAAGGGATGTTTGTCCAGTTCTTAAAGCTGGAGTGTTTTCCTGACAACATTGGCTTATGTGTGTTTAAACGTTTAAAGTTCGTTATTGCGAAGAATAATAATTTTTTAAGGATATATATGTGGACTTTATCTTATCGCTAGTGTTGTGTAACAATTGATATACTCTATTGCCTCACTAACTATCATTTATTGAAGTTGGCCACTTCAAAAGATGAATTAACACCTTTTTGAGTTGATGAGCGCGCAATCAGCTCAAATAAAAAAAAAAATAGAGGATCATTTCAAACAATTACTTCAAACCCAACCAGACAATAGCCATTGTATCAGTTCACCAGCTCAACTGATAAGGATGTTTCAACTGATAAGAGAGTAGCCGGGAGCAGAGCGGTCCAAACCTTGAACAAGACCAGTTGTACCTGTCTGAAGATTCTTCATGTTGTCTTCATGAAGATTGAAGAATATTCACCCTCGCACTCAATGTGGATTTTAACCATTTATTTTTAAATGGATGAGGTATGTTAATGTTATATTCTATATGATTGAATTTCAGTTACATAAATTGCAAAATTATGATATTTTATCCAGAGTTAATTACCAAATTCAAACCACATGTTCTTGTATCATGTAAAAACAATCCTGTTCAGGTCTACTCCTCAAAAATTGAATATTTTGTTGGAATATTAATTTATTAGGTTCATTAAATGTATTTTTAAATGTTTTCATGTGTCCAAAATAACTTAAAAATCTATATCAAGGTAGTCTGTGGAAAATAATACAACAATGTGAATATTTTGTTTATGTATTTAAATTAATTGAAGAAATAATTATCTTTTGAAATTAGTCTACTGTTTCCTAGAATAAATAATGCTTTGAAATTATAATTAATTGTCATATAAAAATATTAATATTACTATTTCAGTACCCTTTTAAAAAAATGTTAATTTAATTCACAAGTAAATATGCTACTTTAGTTCTTAAAGAAGTAAACTAAAAAAAGAAACAATAATACACTGGTTTGAACTGCATTATAGTTAATTTATTTTAATTTGTAAAAGTGTTCAATTAAATGTTAGCTTTGTTCTGTTGAATGTTTTGAAGGGTAAAATATTATCAATTAATTAGTTGAAACTGAATATGTGTTATATGTGATAAATAATATTGTATTGCCACTCATGAAAGGATAACACACAAAGTATATTAAATTGTATGTAAATCTTGTGTATTACTGAGAAATTAATAGTTAACAAATGAATGAGTTATTTATATATTGTAAATAGTTTGAAGTTGGAAATGTTATTAAAGTAGAATTATGTAGCCCACATTAGTATTCAACTAACTGATGAATTTAAATGATGTATCGCATATTGAGTATAATATTTTTAATTGGAGATTCTGTTGAACAAAAAATAATTGGATTACAGTAGGCCTTGATGTAAATATCAGTACAGTACTTAAAACAGAATATTTGTATTCAACATATTCAATTTAATCTATTATTTGCTTGTTTTACTTCCAACACAATTAATGTTTTATTTGTATAAAGTATAGTGTAGGGTAACTTAATGATGGATTAATTAAAATAATTGTTTATTTTATGGAGAACTTGCAAAAGGATTAAATAATTATGTAACAGCATTTATGTGTATATTTCGGTAATTGCTTAAGACTATTTATTGGGTTTATTGTACAGGGTTTTTGTGAGCCCTTCACGCCATACTTGGAGGATCTACTGTGACAGCCTACAGGACTTGCCTACTGTGATTACCAGTATCTTCACACCTATCTGGACCTCATTGACCCCGTGACCTGTGTGCTATCTACTTGTGTGAGACAAATCGGTCTAGACCGGAATTCCCTTGATAGCTACCTTGTGCGGTGGACTTGGTGAGTGACACATTTACCTATTATTTATTGCCTGGACTTAACAAGGACTTATTGGAGGACAGCTCAAGACACTTGGACTATTCACGCCTGCCCGGATTAATCTTTTAGGTTAAATGGGGCCCCGGTCATTGAGTTTTCATGTATTTGTAATTTAGCTAGTAAGATTTTGGTTAGTGTTTGTTATTGTATTTATATGTTTTTGAAACTGTGCATTTTAGGTGAGCTATTGAATGCTTTGAGCTTCAGAAGGTATATTGAGATTATCTGATCTAGAATTATATTCTGTTTCTTATCCAGCCATTTGAGCACACCTCAGAGGGAAAAGATATTACATTGATTGCAATACTGTATTCACAAATCAATTGATTTATCTATTTATTTATTTGTATAGTTGCTAGTGATTGTCAATTGCTCTTGATTGCCTTAATTTCAAAGGATTAGATCCTTGGTTGCATGGGAATGTAAATAATAAATTATTGTTCTATTGACCTTGTGTATTATCATATTTGGTATAATAAATTCTCTAGCATGGCCATGTACACAAGCGTTGTTGTGTTCCTGTGTACTGTCTAGTTTAAAAATTTATTGTCGTAAGTTGGTTTAATTATTGATTGGTTGATTACTTTTGACACTTAAAAGGATTTTGAACTTAGTAAACTACCCAAAAGTTCTTGGTTAGTAGTAAACTATATAGCCTGAGTTATCTAGTCATATCATCAACTGATAAGGGGTATGTGAGTTCTATGCTAAACTGGGTAACCATTTACTACTGCTGATTATAAGTGAACTTGCTGATAATAGTATTATTGTTGTTGTCATTTTGGAGTAATAATTGGTTTGAATTTGGTAAGCTATTAGCCGCCCAGCTGATTGTTTCTTTTTGTTATCTCATCCAAAATATCATCCCATGAGTACAGGAGAACTTCCTTGTTGGACCCTGTTTAAATTCTACTCTACAACACGGTGGCGCCCAGAAATAAACACTAAGAACATTCAGTTTGGATTATTTAGTAAGGTGTAAGCTTTGAGTTGGACCACCCCTTCTCCCTGAGAAAGCTGAGGCAAATTTGGGAAAGGTTACAAAAGGTTACAAATGGCGCCCTGCAACGTGGGGCCTTGAGTAGTAAAAAGGAAGCTTATACCTGGTTTAATATTATCTGGTTTACTCTTATATGAACTTTAGTTGTTCTCTCTTAAATTTGGTGGCAACAATCAACATGTCTGCGCACAACATGAGAAAAGTTGAGGTTGCGTATGAATTGAAAATTCGGGGACTTTCAGCCGATGGTTCTGCTGGGGATCTGCGTAAAAGACTGTCAAAGGCAATGGCTAACAATGTACCTGTGGATGATGCTATAGTCAATTCCTTGGACCCAGATGAAGAACTTCAATGTTGCAAAGATATATTCGAAGATGTACATAGTCTTGTTTCTGAATATGAGGGTGACTTCAATGACACTGAGTACCAACGTATTTCCACCAGGCTTTGGCACTTGTATCCACGCATTGGGCGTATACCAATAGTTACAACTGACTCTGAAGATTCAAAAGAAGATACTAGGGGAAAATTGCTGGAAGAGACTAAGAAATTAATGGATTCTTTTCTTGTAGATCCCAAGTCCAAACAAATTTCAAACCTTGATAAGGTATCGAAAGAGAATCTAGCGGGATCTTCGTCCAAACCACAAGCTGTTCCTGCCCCATTGACTTTGTCAGACGGCACAATTGGAGATGTAGATGGCAACAAATCTTCATTACCGAAACATAACTTG